GCGAGCGTGCGTGCGAGCGTGCGTGCGTACATGCGAGCTTGCGTGCGTGCGTGCGAGCGTGCGTGCGTGCGTGCGTGCGTGCGTGCGTGCGTGCGTGCGTGCAATCAGATGAGCGCAGCCTCGTCGGCTGCAGGATAGAGGCACAGCGCCGGCAGAGCTCGCGCAATCACATTAGCAACGCAGACGCCGAGTCTGAAGGGCTTCACGTGGCGGCAAATATTTGATTATCTAAATCTAGCACGAGGCAAACGAAGAGTGAATTTCCCGTGGGGGGTTTGCGAAGATTTACTACGCCGCATTCGTGTTCTTGTAAAGGTGCAGCTAATACAGAATTTACATTAAAAGTTAAGAAAAGAAGAAAATAATTCACCGATCTATACACACACATATATATTGTTACACATTCAATAAAATATCATTATGTAATACATATATAAAGCGTATGATATGCGATATGTAAAGGCGTATATATTTTCGTTCTACTCGACTCCGTCACCAGATGCCCTGATTATTGTGATTGCCGGGGGGATATAATGGGTTGAATTATTAGCGTAACCATCACATCCCGTGCCTCTAACTGTTATGGATGTTTAGAGAGCCTTGCTAAACGCCATCAATGACTAACCCCGCATATCACAGAAGTGGGGACGGATGACGACGACGAATGACGTCGTTGTCATGACAATGATAAGATCTTCCTTGCTGGTACTGACGCGGGTTATAACGACGGCGACAACGATGATGATGATTGCCGAAGGTGTCTTTAATGAGATACGCGTTGTTACCAGGCATGTACGTGTGACCTCGCGTTCCACGGCAGGCGGGTCACTGCAGACGTTGGACATACGCATACCGGCAGGTCCGGCACCCCGCACCCTTTATGAGCTTGTCGCGCTCGGACAATGATGACGACAGTTTCAATAGAAAGGTCTCGCTAAGTTAGTGCAAACAAGTGTCCCCAGTCCATAGAGCAGCCGTCTGCTGTGGTGAATAGAATGGGTGCATGCAGATGGATAATGCTTGCGTACGCACGACCGAGTGGACAAGAACTCCGTGTAAATTTAACCCGAGCGCTGCTGCTTTCCTCGTTAAAGTTTCCGGTTCGGTTCAGTGAATAAATGTGTTTGGCGTATCAATGCTGAGTGGAGCACACACGCAGCGTCACATGCAATCGGCTAGCTGCATCTATAGTTGCACTCCCTCATCCTGCCTAGACTACACCAGTGTCGGCATCCACAATACATCATCTAGCCTCACACCACATGCCCCTAGCATTCACCGATAAACAAAATCCTGTAGCATCTGCGATCATCGATAATTACTTGCTCTCTATAAGACACGAGGCAACAATAATTTGAGAATTATCATATCAAATTATACGTATATACACGGGATCTGTGTCGTCGTCCTTCGCTCGATGCTCCGCTATGTCATCTTATATATAAAGATGACATTAGCCAAGCTGAGAGAATTTATTCTGGTCATTACAATCACGAATTCTTCCCGATCATCACCGTGATGCCTATCAGTATGGAGTATATGTGATGCCTACCAGTATGGAGTATTCCTCCGGGAAGTATTCACATCCGGGCAACGCTTTCTCTACGGGGAACTTCAGCTTGGAAGCCGTGCTGCGTAGTTTGTACGCATGCGAGCGAGTGTCGTCATCGTAGACGATGTCGACCCCGACGGGAACATGTCGGTTACTCGGGATGGCTTTCTCCAACAGGTCGATGGCACCGATGTCTGCAGATGGGAAAAAACAAACAACAAAGGATGAGATAAATGCAAGATAAACAAACAAACACTTGTGTAAACGAGGTAAAAAAAATTAAATGGTCGCTGAGAGACAATTAGTAAAGAGGAATGTCTTTGCGAAGCGGAATGTCTAAACAAGCACCATGCACGCGCGTCCTTTAGGTAAATGCGAAACAACTGTAGAGGGCCGCATTGACCTCCGAGTACTTATAAAACGTATACGCAAGCTAGCCAAGGGAAATAGGAGATCGGCCAGCAGTGCCTATTGGCTCTACGTGGCGTATCTCCGCTCTAGCCGCTCTAGCAGCAGCGGAAAATTGCGAAATTACGCCGACAACGTCAGCGGATGAACGATGATTTTTGATTTTGGTCTTCGTTCGGGTTCTCTGAACTCTCCCCGCGTAGCTACACGGCGGCTTTTCTCGCCATTATATTTGAATCCGTAGCAGACTCGGGCGCACAGGTGTGAAAGTCGCGCCCATGTGTTTCTTTTACAGCGGACCGCGCAATAGCTACCGGCGTGCTAGACCGAGTAGCGTTGCGGCGCAGTCGGTAAAGGATAAAACTGCTCTAAAGAATAGCGCACCCCCAGAAGCGCTGTCAGATTTGGTACGTCAGTACATTGCAAATGAGCGCCGGCTACCACACACGTACGTCTCGTTTAAGAAGAAGTTAATCCTTTCGCACTTATAGCCTTTGTGTCGGCACTTGTATGTACGCTCCTACGTGCAGCAGTCTCCCGCTACGCTACGAGGTGTATCTCAACCGGCGAGCCAAGCGTCAGACGGACAACGCGGCTGTGCGATGTTAACCTTCCGTTTGCAGACATCACTTACACGCTCAGGCCGTAATGCAATTGCCTCCGTTTTTACGACGATATGTTGCCTGCATATATCCACGCGATAATTGCATAAGCGGCTGAGATGTCGGTAATAAAGGGACGAGAAAAACAAACGCGAATGTTTCGAGGGGAAGGCGATGCCGGGGCGAGCGCGGACGGGCCGGGCCGGATGACCGGCATTTTTCCCACAAAATAACGCCGCTCGCGTTCCTAGCGCTCATATTTCACATAACACGTTTTAAGCATCAGAGTAAGGACCTGTGGTCGCGGTGGCAGACGTTACGCGCATTTTTTCACTGCTAGTAAATCACCCTATTTGAAAGAGCGGCGCCGCCGGGGAACAAAGACAAACCTTTGAAGGGAAAAAATGGCCGACTGGCTGGCGGCCGATATAGCGTATGAAATCTGTTTATTATTTCAGTGAAAAGAATACTATACTACGCGCGCGTACGCGCTAATGCATTTCATCTCGCGCATGCCAACGTTCGGCGAGATTTTGCGATGAGTTTCATCCGGCAGTAAATTATTAAGATGATCTTCTATAACATACAGTCAACCAAATGTTAGCGGCCACTTCTATATAAAGGCCACTTGTCCAGAAAGATCACTGCTACGCTTGCCATCGAGTGTCCGTTATTTACAGGTTTGACTGTATAATACATGTGCAACGCTTCTCCTTCTTCTTGTCCTTCTTCTTCTTCTTCTTCTTCTTTTTATGCTTCTTCTTCTTCATCATATTCTTCTTCTTGTTCTTGTTCTTGTTTTTCTTGTTCTTCTTGTTCTTCTTGCTCGTCTTGTTCTTGTTCCTCTTCCTCTTCTTCTTTTTCTTCTTCTTCTTCTTCTTCTTCTTCTTCTTCTTCTTCTTCTTCTTCTTCTTCTTCTTCTTCTTCTTCTTCTTCTTCGTCGTTTTCTTCTTCTTCTTCTTCTTCGTCGTCGTCGTCTTCTTCTTCTTCTTCGTCTTCTTCTTCTTCTTCTTCTTCTTCTTCTTCTTCTTCTTCTTATTATTATTATTATTATGGCGCCTGTAATGCCAGATGTAATCATGCATGCTACACGTGTAATAATGTAATCAATATTTTTTTAAACAACATTCCGTCAATAATGTTACGAATTGTTATTAAAGTTATGATCGTTGGTAGCGACTGTTAAAATAGTTGTTGCTAGTCTACACTTGCATGACTAACACGAAGCTGGCCTAACAAAAAAAATATTTTTGCGCCGAGTGCGCGTGCGCGATTCCCAGCCGTACGCTTTCCGGCATGAATTCTGGTATAGACGATAGCAGTTATTGTGACGACGGGGGGGGGGGTTCTGTCAGGTTCCACCACGCCCTTTTCGCGTTTGCGTATTCCGATGGTGACATCACTGCAGGCTGTGCTGTAGGCCTGTCAGCCTGTCACGGTTTAGGCACGGCACTATAGTTCTCTCGTTCGGTGGGAAATGCAATCAGAGCTCATTGGCGGTTACCCACGGGGCATGTGACGACGTCGACGTTGATCCTAAGATTAATACGCTGCAAACACTCGCAACTATGACTAAGTGGGTCTTTAGCGCGCCGCCGGAATATATTTCGGTTAGCGCCATTTGTCAATGCGTCGAATATATTAACGCGTCTAAATATCGCGTCTTTTCTCGAGCGATCGCGGCCGCGGTATACACCCGCGGAAGCAGGTGTGATATATCAAATAATTGCGACTGATGTGCTCTGTCAGCTGTCAGCACATGAATACCGTAGCGCGGGGTGGGCTGGTGTGGCAGGGGGTGGTTACGTGGGGCGGTGGCGGCGGCCTGGCGATCCAACCGCCCTCTGGCGACAGGTTTACCTATTGCCGAGACCTATCACGTGGCGACTGTTCCGATAATCTCTGATTGTTACGGCGCTCACCCCCGGAGCCTAAATCCTTGTTTTTTTGCGGATGTCGTAGTACGGTTGCACCAGCACACGAACTGCTGAATAATGAGACGTCGTACGCTCGACGCTAGAAAGAAAAGGCTACGATATGTATATATCAAGAGTGAATAATAATAGAATAATTATATATAATCTATTACATTTAATTCACCTCTTGTATATAATATATATACTATATATATAACAATATATATATAATATATTATGTATATATATAACTGTCGGTTTTTGTACATTTCTTTTTAAGGGCCTGTCCGAAAGAGAGAGAGAGAGAGGAGAGAGAGAGAGAGAGAAGAGAGCAGAAAGAGGAGAGAGGAGAGAGAGAGAGAGAGAAGAGAGAGAGAGAGGAGAGAGAGAGAGAAAGAGAGAGAGAGGAGAGAGAGAGAGAGAGCAGAGAGCAGAGATAGAGAGAGCAGAGAGAAGAGAGAGAGAAGAGGTAGAGAGAGAGGTAGATAAGATAGATAGATATATACAATAAGATAGATATTAGAAGATAGATAGATCGTTTAGATATATTTTTTATGATAGATAGATAGATGATATGATAAAATAGACTAGATAGATAGATAGATAGACTCGATAGATAATAAGAAAAAATCGATACGTAGATAGATCAGATTAGAGAGATAAATAGATAGATATGATAGATACGATAGTATAAAGATAGATAGATAATAGATCGAATAGATAGGATAGCTAGATAGATAGATAGGATAGATAGATAGATAGATACGATAGATAGATAGATGAGATAGATAGATGATAGATAGATGAATACGATAGAAGATAGATAGATAGATAGATTAGGATAGATTGATAGATAGATAGATAGATAATAGTAGATAGATAGATAGATAGATAGATAGATAGATAGATAGATAGATAGATAGATAGATAGATAGATAGATAGATAGATAGATAGATAGATAGAAGACCGTCTGTGCAACTTTTTGCTCCTTCCTTGTCTTACGCGCTCCGTGCTTGTGAGTCGCAATGTATTTTCGTTGTGATGTGGTGAGCGGGTTCAACGTTTCTCTGCCCGCAGGACGCGAAGCCGCTTACTACGATTGTCGTTTAACTGTTTTTTTCGCTTCGTGTTAAATTTGCGATTTGCTTATCTGCTCTAGTAATTCGGTTTTGCAAATGCCCGAATCAACATGGTTGACATGCAGCAAGCTTTATTTTGTCGACATCTGATCTAAATACATGCGCACTTAAGAAATGCTGAGTAATGCGCAACACTAATGTACGGGGGAAAAATTCCAAGAGAAAATAACCAACACTTGGCGAAATTATTGCGTTTTACTCACAGATCACAAGGGATGGTCATCTAAAAAATACGAATATTCGGCGTAATATACTCAGCGTTGTCGTAATGCAATGTCAGCATGGGGAGTCGTCATCGCGTAAAAAATGCTGCTACGCTAACGACGAACCGAATTTGTATTTTGTTGTTATTCATCCAGAAACGGCGGGCAGCGCTAAACAGCAATAACGAGAGGCCAGCCACAGCGGAACGACCGCGAATCATGCGTGCTTCACCCCGCTCTCGCTGCGTGCAATAACACAATCAGGCAGAATCTGAAGAAGAAGAAGAAGAAGAAGAAGAAGAAGAATTCTGGCACGATGCCAAACCATCGTGTCAGTCTAATCCGCGCTTGCCTAACGCGGTCAGTGTTATTCTGTCGAGTGGATTCTGAAGCTCTTGCGAGTGAATTGTCGACGCTGTGCATGGTCCGTTCCTTTCCCCGTCATCAATGTGATCGTTAACTAACTTACGCGAGCGTAATCAAAAAGAGCCGCGATGTAGCCGACTGTGCAACCGTTCCCTTGTACTGCCAGATACAGGGGAAACGGTCTGCCCTATACTGCGCCAGGTATGGGTGAACATCCTACCTTGTATAGCCAGATACGCGTGAATATCCTACCCTGTACTGCCATACACGAGAGAACATTCTACCCTGTACTGCCAGATACGGGTGAACAATCTACCCTGTACTGCCAGATACGGGTGAACAATCTACCCTGTACTGCCAGATACGGATAAACATCGTACCCTGTACTGCCAGATACGGGTGAACAATCTACCCTGTACAGCCAGATACGAGTGAACATCCTACCCTGTACTACTAGATACGAGTGAACATCCTACCCTGTACTACTAGATACGAGTGAACATCCTACCCTGTACTGCTAGCTACGGATGAACAATTTACCCTGTACTGCCAGATACGG